TGCAAGGTTTAGCAGAAAACTATACCAGTTTACAATCTTAACGAGGGCAATAGTAAGAGTTTGGAGCATACAGGCAAACATATACTAATTGATTACGACCGGGATTAAAGGCTTTATACAAAGAAATTGCTACTAATAGAGAGTGAGCGATAACATACAGACATAACCCATCAGTTTATAAGGTATTAAGAAATGGCAAAATACACCATTAACATCTACAATGCACAGGGGATGTATAGTATACCTGTGAGAGAACATATTTCACAGAGATCTAGGATACATTGGTTCAACCAAGCGGTCCCTTAAAAAACAGCTGGCAGAACATAAATAGGATATACAAAACAAAAAGCAGACAACTGTACTTACAATATACGCTTCTGACACTGACGTGAAAGCTAAACTATAGCATGCCAGTCTCATTTGATGCACCCTTCATACCGATCAAATCAAAATTTTAGAAGCTCTTGAAATTTTTAAAGCCAAACTAAAAGGAGAAAGTATTAATTTTAAGGAGGAGGCAAACATCTCACATGCTTGGCAGTGCATTTTCAACAATCCTGATGACATTAATAAAAAATAAGAAATCAATTAATTCACTTAGGATTTGTAACATTTTGATTTTTATTTTAATGTTAACACCTAGATGAGATTTTTGTATACTTGTTCTAATATTTACTATTCCAACAATTTAAAAATATTTAAATTCAAATCATTTAGCATTCTAATTCTATTGAACATTTTTGACCTGATGCAGACCCTATTAGGATTGAAAACATTTGTCATAAAGTATTTAATATAAATTATATTTGCTGGTATATTTTGAAGGTTTTTGTTGGTGTTATTTACAGCTTTGGGAAGATTTAGAACAGTTAGAGACACATTAAATAAATTTCTACAGAATGAAAATTAATGTGTATTTTAATAAGTATTGAATTTATTTTGGCGACTTCAAATAGTGAATGTAAATTTCAGATTACATAAATGTAAAGTCAGCTTTTATATGAGCCAAAAAAGCTGAAATTTCAGATGGATGAAAACTGTTCCTCAAGTGACCAGGACAGTGATATCAATTTCTCTTCTCCAAATGTACTAACAAGAGTATTTGTCAGTTTCTGTTTCTTTCAAACAGCAATTTCTTATGTTAATGAATGGAGCCAACATTCTGCTGAGGCATATTCCAGAAAGGTAAAAAAAAAGTGTGTGTTAACCCAACCTAATTAGAGAAGATTTACTTAAATAATTTTGCTGACATTTTCACTCTCAACCACAATAGCAGGAAGTGATTCCATTTTCCCATGAACTTGTTTCCTTGTCCAGAGATGACACATCTGAATTTGTCATTTTTGACTGTATCGGGAACATAACATTAAAAATTGTTATTGTATTGGTTTAACTAACCTATAGGCTATTATCAAAACTGGACATAGAACTCAACATGGGAGGAGCCCCAAATAAAAGAGGTCTTCATCAGAGGCTGTCTGTCATCATCAAGTGCAAGGTTTAGCAGAGAACTATACCATTACGACCAGGGATTAAAGGCTTTATACAAAGGCCAGTCTTGGATATACACCATCCTCCTAAGATCGCAACAAAGGGCCTACACCTTCAGGTAAACACCAATTTGCAATTGAATGTAAACTCTCTCCCACAGTTAGGGATCCGATATGATTTAATTGATATGTTCTTTGATTACTATATAGTTAACTCTAATATATATGTATAATCCTATGAAAATAAATGGTTATTTGTTTGCGTTACATGAGTAGTGAACTGTCTCTCAGACCTCCATCCCAAATCAGACTGCCTACACATGTGACTGCTTGCGTGGAGACAAACTTAGTGGCCATTGAGGTTTCTGTCTGTCCATAAGACACAGTGGTGTCAGTCCTGACGATGCAGTCATCGCAGGTATGGTGTCGACCCTGTGGTCACAGAGAATGCAGTTTTAGTTTAAAATTTCACTGTTGTCAAACTTTTTTAATGAGGTTACTTAGCCATGGATAGCCAAAAGTTAACAAATGAAAAATTGAGTGGTTTGATTTGAATGGATTGAATTGTCAATAGTGTTTCTAATGACAATTCAATTTCACATAACAACTTACATTTTCTAATGGAAGTATATTTATTCCTGGTAGACATCAATGCCTCATTTGAAAGAATTTTTTTACACACACATTGTTGCAGTCTACTAAAAAAACCAAATATGAAAGTTGAACTGTCACATGTTTGTTGAAATTAAAAGCAAACTTTTTTACTGAATTGTTTACAATTCATGTTAAACTAGCATAAAACAATATTTTGCAGAAAATTCATTCGTCTGATAATATACATAAAATCACAGATGATTTGAAAATAAAAAAGTTACTCTCTTCATATTAATATGTACATGGTGTGTGATCAGCAGTGTAGTGTTCCTTTTCTAAAAAAAAATTTCTGCTTTATGCATATATGGTGACAACGTAGAGAATTGTTTTTACTGATCACTGTCAGTAATATGTACCAGCACATTCTGAGTGAAAAATACTCCTGGGTGACCAATAATTTTCGAGAGATTTTTGTGAGCAGTGTACAGTAATAAATCCTGCATGAAATTAGAAAAACCATATACAGAAATGTATGTTTTGTTGAAACAAGCTTATAAAGACAAAACCATGGATTCAAAAACAAATTTATAAGTGGTTTCCAAGATTCTAAAGGAAATAGAAGTCAGCAGAAGACAACCTTCATACCAGATGACAAGTAGCAGTCTACAAAGAATAAAATGTGCAGAAAATTAGGACATCATCATTCAATGGTTGTTTCAAATCAATTGGAGAGATTGGTAATGAAATATGGGCTTAAAATTCATGGTTTCTTCAACATGACAATGCTCCCTGCCACAAAACGCTACTCATCAACCAGTATGCAGTTAAATGTAGTCTTTGGTGGAACATTCTGCCCTAATAATCAAATCTGGCTTTATCAGACATTTTTTTTGCTTTAAAAGATAAAAACATTCAAGAAAGATTTTTGAGAATGTAAAAACTAGCCATGAAAAAGCAATGAGAGTAATGAAGCTCATTCAAAAATGTGAGTTTGAAAAATGCTTTCAGAAGTTGCAGACACACTAGGACAAATGCATCACTTTAGAGGGGAATAACTTTGAAGGAGATCCCTAGTAACCACTGTAGTGTGTGCCACATTAAATGCAGGCATCCACATATGCATGTGTTGGATATCATTCTGTAAAATAGCATCTCACACCTGCTGCACCTATAGGGCCAGATTAATAATAATTGTTGCTGGTTGTGGATGAGTTTGTATCTATCATTTAATCATGTCCAACATATGCTCTATTGGCAAAAGATCTCTTAATCTTGTCAGTCAGGATAACGCATTGACATCTTGTCAATGCGTTATCCTGACAGACAAGATTAAGAGATCTTTTGGCAAGGAAGGGCATGTTGGTTGCAACTGAAGAATGGGAATAAGTATTATCCTGTTCAAACAGGGCCTCCTCAATACTGTTTGGTGATTGAACTCATTGTTCTGCCATTCATAATCACAACAGCAAACATTCTGAGCAAATGTTTGCTGTCATGGTGTTCAGGATAACAAACAAGGGAGGGAGATCTGATTATCATAATACCTATGGTTGCTGCTTACCAACAGACATTCTTTAGGTCGTCCTTATGCAGATAAGTCCATCACTGGTACCACTGCATTGATACCAATGATGGACTTATGTTCTCCAGGCCTATCTCGATCCATATATATTGGTAAATGGCTCTTGTCTATGAATTATGCTGTAGAATAGACTCTTGCAAAACACCATTGATGATGCATCTGACAGTAAGCAGGAGTGAATGGCAAACATGCCACAAGATGCTTGGAGTAGATGTGACTCTCCAGTAGTTGGTTCAAACAGTTCTTGTGATCGCTCTGGGTATTACTGCTGCTATAATTTCCACCATAGATGCCCTCCAATCCATCAGGGACAACCTGTATATGTACTGATCATCTTTCTCTCCAGTGGCCCAAAAGGATTCAGACCCCAATCTTCTGGTGGTAGTGCATTCCCTAGGTATTGATACCAAAAGTTGTACAAGATGGACACATCTTGGTCCATTCTTTCTGCAATCTTACAAAATGGAAATCCATTGTCTCGTGGTCTACCATGTGGCCTCATTCAAACTGGTTTAATTGCTGATAAATAGTTTGTTGTTACCTTTGATGCATTCTGTACATTGTAGCTAATGTCATTATAGTAATTCACAGTGACACTAATATAAATACCTCTGCACATGTCTATCGGGAACTTATAATTTGTATTTGCTGTGACACTGTACATGCATTATGTGAATTGTGCTCTTGAAATTGGTATCAATTAAATAAAACACAAACAAAAATTACACACAATATTTATACATCTAGCATAACTCCTTAGTGTTGGAATTTCTATTTCTGGCAGTGTATGTTTAAACTTTATAATTTTATGTTTTATAGAAACTTTTTCTTTTTCAGAAAAGATACCAAATTGTTATTTTGTACATGTTGTTCATGTAACTCTCTACAGACTTTACTAAGAATACTTTTTATTCTTAGCATAGTATTTAGTATAGTATATAAAAAGATATTTGCTAATTGTAACAGAAATACAGGTTAATAAAAAAGAAAAAAGTAACATTTTTGATGAGATTAAAAGTTTTAATCTTACTTAATTATAATTCTACAAGGGCAGTTTTTTCAAGCTCCAATGGTCCATAAAACACAAATAAGTGTAAATAACAAAATGAATTTTGGTAATAAATTAATTTTGTTATTTACACTTATCTTTTTTTATGTACCATCGAAGCTTGCAAAAAAAGAGATAAAACTGAACTATGTAGGCTAACTAAATATATTGATTTTAAATTGAACAAATTAAAAACAAGCTTACCCTCTTTAGCAGTTTTGGCCATTGTACTCAACCTTTTTGTCGATGCTTTGCTTTCACGTAATGCCCTTGTACTTGATCGTGATTCGTCCAATTTTTCATTGCCCAGTATGTCTTTTCCAAGCTGTTAATATCAATTATGTATAGATTGATAAACATAGATTTCAAGTTATGTGAAACTTAGAAAAACACAGATTTCAATTCATTAGTTCTTTACCATATAAAGGATAATTTTAAATAAAATCAACTAACCTTAGCTGTTTCGAGCATTGTGTTATCTTTAGAAAGTCTTGCCTTTTTGACTGTAGGTTCGTCTAAACCTTTACCATCTGATTCTTTTATGTCTACTTCCTCTTTCATTTCTTGTTTATCATTATCCTAAAATGAGTTAAAAGCATTAATTATTTTTAATTAAAAAAATATGGTGTAAAGTTTATCGTACAGTATTATACAGTGGGTGATCAGTTAACAAACAGTTCAGACTATAAACAAATCGGATAATGAACACTTTTGCGAAAGATTTTTATGTTTGGACAATGTATACCTCACAGAACAAACACAAGAAGTGACATAAAATAATGAATACCAATTGGTCTTTCCTTGTCTTCAGACAATAATTCAAAACTTCTCAAACCATGGGAGACATCGACATTCAACCCAGTATATACTGATTGGATAGTATTCCTCCGAACTTTGAAACTCTCCCTTGTAATTCCAGCCTTTTATTTTTCTGACACAAACAATTTTTTTTATAGTATTCAAGAGACTGTCAGGTGGTCACTCATTATGTTTTGCGTCAGTTTTTATTTTTGAAAGGTTAGAGTATAATAGCAAAGGTAGAGAGTGAGCAGATGTCTGATGTTGCTGGGCAGTATGGCTTGAACAGGTGTACAGTAGGCCGCAGTTCATTCTTATCTCAGAATGATACAGTATAATCAAGAAGACTCAAGCAGCTAAAGGAGTAACAAAAAATCACATCTGAGAAATAAAGAACATTGAAGAGCTCAAAATGGAACCTGAAACGGATCTGATGACAGAAGAACGCCAAGAACTTGAATGAAGAACATAAAGCAACTTGGTGAGATATGTTTCTTTCTGAAAAAGAGGATTAATGCTATATCTGCTGTTANACATTTTAAAAATCTTGAATTTTTCTTATTTTTATTATTTTTTTTATCAGCCATAATGTAACATTAAACAATTTATTTTTTTAATTTTTTTTTTTATCCTTTGTCAGAAGCATGTTTAAAATACTTGTGGCTAATCTAACATATCCATGTGTCGAGAGAGTTTCTCTGATACAGATGTGGGATTATAATGATGTCGGCTATCACGATTAAAAAATGATAGCAGTTTTTTGCATAATGGATGTGTCGAAACACGGTGATTAATATAAACCAGTGTGTAAACAGGATGTGCATGCACTCACACACACACGCACACATGCACACTCACTGCTCTAGCCTCGCTCCCAGTCTATGCAAGAAATGATTCAAAACAATTGGCTTTTGTTTTTTGTTTGTTTTTTTTTCCTTGGTTATTCAATTTTGTACCTCTTCCATTTCTGTTCCACCCTCTGACTCAATGGGTCCATCATAATTTGGCATTTCTTCTTTTTCTTCTGTGTTGTTTACTTCTTTACTTCTGACTTCTTCCTCCGATGCGGAACCTTCGTCTTTGCGAGGTCTACCTCTCCGACCTCGTTTGGGTGTGTCCTAATGCAAATGGGATAAGTTTAGGCAATTTTTTCGTTTTCGAATAATAATTAAGGCAATTTTAAATGCTATAAGACTCACTTTTGCCGACGACTTCTGAAGAGGTGGCGGCGGAGGTGCACCACGGGTCTGTGATCTTGTACGTCGTCGTTCACTGTCTGGGTTGTCGTCTTTATGACCCAATTCTTTTAATAAAGCTTCACCTTAATTGATTTATAAAGCATTAATAAACATATAATATATTTAATCAAACTTAAAACAAGTTTTATTTCTAAAATTTAATTCCTAGGACTAGGAAAGAAAACTAAACTTTATAATTAAAGCATAACATTAAGATTTCCCATGAACAATTAAATAAGGTGTAGCATTATTTTCTTACATAATAGAATCCACATATTGTAAACAATGATATCAGAATTAATTTTCAATATTTTGGAGCATGCTAAGTTAGTTAACAACAAAGTAGTTGTTATTTTCAATGTCAGTTTTTATTCACCTTGGATTTTAACAATATTCAAGGTGAAGCAACGACATTCCCAATAATTTAATGGGTATAAAGTACCACAAACCAAATCAAGCCAGTTAGGATGCCATCTCCAAAACAAATCCTATAAATAAATCTAGTAAACTAATAACTGTTAATTATAGTTACTTCCAGATGCTAGATATGAAAGAAGATTAACTATTCTTACAAGTATTAAAATTTAAAGAATATGAAGACCTAGAAACAGTTGATGTAAAGTAGGTAAGAATATTCACTTATTTTTTGTTTGTTGTTCTAATGTAGCTAAAGATCAATGGTGGAGATGCATTACATATTACTGTGTTTGGGAGTGAAGAAACGCAATTTTTATTTAGAAATATCTACGTTTGTCAAAAATTATCCTTAAATTGATTTTGGCAATACATAATGTCGCTACCTTGTTGATCTTTGGTTCGTGAAGAATTGAGCCTAAATGTTATGTTATACCCTGAGGCCATTATATTTTGTTTCGGTCTTTTTCTTACTTTGGGAAGTTTGTTTGGTTGAAAGGCAAAGAACTTCAACATCCATTCAAAATTAATCTCCATTTTAAAAACGGGCATAGGCAACTGTCAGCAAGTCACAGTCGAAAACGGCATTTATGATTTGGTAAATTAAAAGAAAAATAATCATTGAATTCATATATTAGTAATATTTTGTTAAATATTGCATTGAACATTCTTTTGTAAATGTAAAGCTTTACAGACAAAAACATTACAGAAATAACTGTTTATCTCTTTACTCTCCTTCCTGTGGGCATAAAGAGAACATTTTAATAAAACCCAACATGAGTTTAGTCAGGCAGTGAGAGATGTCAGTTCTACACCGGGATATACCAGCCCCTGGTGTTTTTTTGACCCATCCCGATTTATTCCTAGATTCCCTAGAACGAAGCCCAACGGCTTAACTACTCGGCCATCCTGCCAACCATTTCCGTTCAAATTAATTTTGTTGTACATACTACAACTACAAAAGTAAAGTTGAACTAAAATGAAATAAAATAAAGCCTATATTATATAAGTGATGAAAAACTTGCCACCAACAGTAATAAAATCGAAGTTGAAATAACGTTCCCAAATAATTATTTTCAACCAAAATTTCTCAGCTACTTAGAAGTGCCACCGTATGGTTAATGTTCGCCAAACATTCAAAACTTACCCAGTTTTTTGATATTTCCATTGTTGTCCGGCTGTCCTTCCTTAATCTCGACAATGGAATGGATAGATGAAAATCGAGACCAGATATGGAAAGTTTAGGAGGCAGAGGCCCCAGTTAAATATATACAAACTTCTGGTCTAGAAAGGAAATCATGTATTTTCAAATTAAAATTGTAGCCCATCATTGTGACAATGTCACAATAAGCGATTGCTCGTTTAATTTGATGATAAAATAATAAATGCCAATTCCTTTGTTTCTTTAATGAAAGTAATGTATAACTCATCTTTTGAGTAAACGGCTCTGTTGTCATTGAAGTTTAAAATCTTGACATTTCACATTGACTGATTTCTTATTAGTCGTCATGGCAAAAATATTTTAAATAAGAAGAAAAAGTAGGAAGATTATGCTTTTTGTCTCATACAAAAATGCAACAATTACCAATTTAAAATGTTAAAAGTAAGGACACATTTTTTCATAAACATTCACATATATCGAAGATAGATACTAGTAGCTTAAATCATTAAAGTCGTCAATTAATAATCAAATTACTACTACTTCAACATTTAGTAGGGAAGCCTACACCACGAGAGAAACTTGTTATAAAGTATCATGAATATTGCTCATGAAAAATGTCCCTACAATGAAGGTGAACTTATTAATATCATGAATATTTAGTTTCATAAGACATTAGATACCATTAATTTAAAGCTTTTGAAATCAATCAGTAAAATTCCTACTTTACAACACATAATTGATCATCGTATCTCAGAAATAAGGCTTTTTTGCCATAGCAATAAAAAAAAAAAAAAAAAAAATCTTCAATGAAATTTACAAATTGGCAATGAACAGCCAAATGATTTATTTTTGTGTGGTCAATAACCACTTTACAAAAAAGTATTTTAACCAGATTTCTTGTTTTAAAAAAAGATTCCTGAACTGATTTAAGGAGAATCAAACAAAGTTTCAATTGCAAGACAGTGAAGGGATACAGGATTTAATGTTCTATTATATGTTGCTTTGTGGAAAAGATAAAAAATGCTTTGTATGAATTTGGCAATATTTTGTTTCCAAAAAGAAGGGAGAATGCTTTCAATCACTTTTCAAGCATGGAAAATGGAGTGTCAATTTTGGCATTCTTCAGCATGATAGCAACAGCAGGGATTTCTAAAGATTTGAAGATTTACAACTTAAAAACCATCCGTTGCATTTTTTTCTGAAATTCATTTAATAGTGATGTAACTAACAACAGACTTTTGCTTTCTGAAAATTTACTTCGCAAAACAGCAGCAGGTTAAATTAATTAATTAAGAGAATTGCATGATGATGGTGTTAAAATATTTTTTAAATCTGCAAAGTTGTTTATATTTATTTTAGGAATGTCTATCCAAAATTCATTAAACACTTTAGTAAGTGCCATACTGCATTCTTTTCCACATTTGGAACCATATATAGTTGCAAATTATTATATTCAATTATAAAACTTATTAAATCTAAGTATCAACACAAAAAAAACCTTTTTTAATATTGGCCATTAGCCTGATGAAGACCAAGTTTATGGTCGAAAACGTTCGTTTTGTTTAAATTTGTTCATACTGGGATATTAAAAAAAGGTTTTTTTGTATTGATTTATCTTCCCAGGAGTTGTGTGAGATGTTGTTGTTAAGTCTAAGTATCATTTGCAATTAACAAAACACCTAAAAGAATTAATATGGAATGCAATTACCAAATTTTAAACAGTGTCCCAACTACAAACCCACAAGTTAGTAAGTAATGAAAGAGAGAGATTGATATTGGCTATCATATCAACATAACAAACTGATCTCCCTTTATAATAAATATAATAAAATTTTATATATATATATATATATATATATATATAAAAGAAATAATANATCTCTCCAGATTTAATTGAATTTAATTGTTAGTAAATAATAATGACTATTTAAATTTATTTAACCAAGTTACACTAAAATATAGGAAACAAGCAATATTTACTGGTAAGTATAGATTTTATTTTTCCTTTTGTCAGTGAAAAACTTGCATTAAAAAAATGTTTTTGATCTGCTTAATGAACCATCATCAGGTTACAATTCTAAATAGAATTCAAAATGTATTATAAGCATTCAATTGGAACATTTCAACTGCAGAATATAAAAATTAATGGACAAATTTATTTGTGTATTTATAAATTTAATTCAAAATGTGTTATAATCTGAGGATGTGGATTGAAAACATTCGTTTTAATATCAATTTTTTACTGCTAACGTATGGATTTCTTTTGTTTTATTAAAATTATTTCCTAACCTTGTATAAATAATTCTGTATTTATATTCACATATTTAATTTAATATATAATTATCATTTTCTATGCATTCTAATACTTTATTCTGATAGTTTATTAAAATGTATTTATATTGGGATTTAAAACAAGTTTTTGAAAACAACAACAAAAAGACCAAAAATTCTGCAAAGAATACTCATTAAACGAGTAACAAACATTTCGAAAATGAAGAAACATGCACATGGAGGTGGCCACTTACACAGTTAGAAACAGTAAATAACACCAAGAAAAACTTTCAAAATATACCAGCAAATATAATTATCAGAACGTATTTATACTAAAATGTTTTCAATCCTAATAGGATCGGCATCAGGTCAAAAATGTTCGATAGAATTAGAATGCTAAATGATAGAATTTAAATATTTTAAAATCATCGGAACAGTAAATATTAGAGCAAGTATACAAAAATTGCACCTAGGTGTTCACATCAACATTAAAATAAAAATTAAAATTAACAAATACATTTGTTACGAATCCTAAGTGAATTAATTGATTTCTTATTTTTTATTAATGTTGTTGAGATAGTCAAAAAATGATTTAGAGTCTTACAAAAAGGACATTCACACACCGCACAAACACTGTTAGCACATTGCAAGAATTAAAACATTGAAAAAATAGTGACAGCACATGGTTACCCTAGAACAATGGTGCAAGGTTTAGCAGAAAACTATACCAGTTTACAATCTTAACGAGGGCAATAGTAAGAGTTTGGAGCATACAGGCAAACATATACTAATTGATTACGACCGGGATTAAAGGCTTTATACAAAGAAATTGCTACTAATAGAGAGTGAGCGATAACATACAGACATAACCCATCAGTTTATAAGGTATTAAGAAATGGCAAAATACACCATTAACATCTACAATGCACAGGGGATGTATAGTATACCTGTGAGAGAACATATTTCACAGAGATCTAGGATACATTGGTTCAACCAAGCAGTCCCTTAAAAAACAGCTGGCAGAACATAAATAGGATATACAAAACAAAAAGCAGACAACTGTACTTACAATATACGCTTCTGACACTGACGTGAAAGCTAAACTATAGCATGCCAGTCTCATTTGATGCACCCTTCATACCGATCAAATCAAAATTTTAGAAGCTCTTGAAATTTTTAAAGCCAAACTAAAAGGAGAAAGTATTAATTTTAAGGAGGAGGCAAACATCTCACATGCTTGGCAGTGCATTTTCAACAATCCTGATGACATTAATAAAAAATAAGAAATCAATTAATTCACTTAGGATTTGTAACATTTTGATTTTTATTTTAATGTTAACACCTAGATGAGATTTTTGTATACTTGTTCTAATATTTACTATTCCAACAATTTAAAAATATTTAAATTCAAATCATTTAGCATTCTAATTCTATTGAACATTTTTGACCTGATGCAGACCCTATTAGGATTGAAAACATTTGTCATAAAGTATTTAATATAAATTATATTTGCTGGTATATTTTGAAGGTTTTTGTTGGTGTTATTTACAGCTTTGGGAAGATTTAGAACAGTTAGAGACACATTAAATAAATTTCTACAGAATGAAAATTAATGTGTATTTTAATAAGTATTGAATTTATTTTGGCGACTTCAAATAGTGAATGTAAATTTCAGATTACATAAATGTAAAGTCAGCTTTTATATGAGCCAAAAAAGCTGAAATTTCAGATGGATGAAAACTGTTCCTCAAGTGACCAGGACAGTGATATCAATTTCTCTTCTCCAAATGTACTAACAAGAGTATTTGTCAGTTTCTGTTTCTTTCAAACAGCAATTTCTTATGTTAATGAATGGAGCCAACATTCTGCTGAGGCATATTCCAGAAAGGTAAAAAAAAAGTGTGTGTTAACCCAACCTAATTAGAGAAGATTTACTTAAATAATTTTGCTGACATTTTCACTCTCAACCACAATAGCAGGAAGTGATTCCATTTTCCCATGAACTTGTTTCCTTGTCCAGAGATGACACATCTGAATTTGTCATTTTTGACTGTATCGGGAACATAACATTAAAAATTGTTATTGTATTGGTTTAACTAACCTATAGGCTATTATCAAAACTGGACATAGAACTCAACATGGGAGGAGCCCCAAATAAAAGAGGTCTTCATCAGAGGCTGTCTGTCATCATCAAGTGCAAGGTTTAGCAGAGAACTATACCATTACGACCAGGGATTAAAGGCTTTATACAAAGGCCAGTCTTGGATATACACCATCCTCCTAAGATCGCAACAAAGGGCCTACACCTTCAGGTAAACACCAATTTGCAATTGAATGTAAACTCTCTCCCACAGTTAGGGATCCGATATGATTTAATTGATATGTTCTTTGATTACTATATAGTTAACTCTAATATATATGTATAATCCTATGAAAATAAATGGTTATTTGTTTGCGTTACATGAGTAGTGAACTGTCTCTCAGACCTCCATCCCAAATCAGACTGCCTACACATGTGACTGCTTGCGTGGAGACAAACTTAGTGGCCATTGAGGTTTCTGTCTGTCCATAAGACACAGTGGTGTCAGTCCTGACGATGCAGTCATCGCAGGTATGGTGTCGACCCTGTGGTCACAGAGAATGCAGTTTTAGTTTAAAATTTCACTGTTGTCAAACTTTTTTAATGAGGTTACTTAGCCATGGATAGCCAAAAGTTAACAAATGAAAAATTGAGTGGTTTGATTTGAATGGATTGAATTGTCAATAGTGTTTCTAATGACAATTCAATTTCACATAACAACTTACATTTTCTAATGGAAGTATATTTATTCCTGGTAGACATCAATGCCTCATTTGAAAGAATTTTTTTACACACACATTGTTGCAGTCTACTAAAAAAACCAAATATGAAAGTTGAACTGTCACATGTTTGTTGAAATTAAAAGCAAACTTTTTTACTGAATTGTTTACAATTCATGTTAAACTAGCATAAAACAATATTTTGCAGAAAATTCATTCGTCTGATAATATACATAAAATCACAGATGATTTGAAAATAAAAAAGTTACTCTCTTCATATTAATATGTACATGGTGTGTGATCAGCAGTGTAGTGTTCCTTTTCTAAAAAAAAATTTCTGCTTTATGCATATATGGTGACAACGTAGAGAATTGTTTTTACTGATCACTGTCAGTAATATGTACCAGCACATTCTGAGTGAAAAATACTCCTGGGTGACCAATAATTTTCGAGAGATTTTTGTGAGCAGTGTACAGTAATAAATCCTGCATGAAATTAGAAAAACCATATACAGAAATGTATGTTTTGTTGAAACAAGCTTATAAAGACAAAACCATGGATTCAAAAACAAATTTATAAGTGGTTTCCAAGATTCTAAAGGAAATAGAAGTCAGCAGAAGACAACCTTCATACCAGATGACAAGTAGCAGTCTACAAAGAATAAAATGTGCAGAAAATTAGGACATCATCATTCAATGGTTGTTTCAAATCAATTGGAGAGATTGGTAATGAAATATGGGCTTAAAATTCATGGTTTCTTCAACATGACAATGCTCCCTGCCACAAAACGCTACTCATCAACCAGTATGCAGTTAAATGTAGTCTTTGGTGGAACATTCTGCCCTAATAATCAAATCTGGCTTTATCAGACATTTTTTTTGCTTTAAAAGATAAAAACATTCAAGAAAGATTTTTGAGAATGTAAAAACTAGCCATGAAAAAGCAATGAGAGTAATGAAGCTCATTCAAAAATGTGAGTTTGAAAAATGCTTTCAGAAGTTGCAGACACACTAGGACAAATGCATCACTTTAGAGGGGAATAACTTTGAAGGAGATCCCTAGTAACCACTGTAGTGTGTGCCACATTAAATGCAGGCATCCACATATGCATGTGTTGGATATCATTCTGTAAAATAGCATCTCACACCTGCTGCACCTATAGGGCCAGATTAATAATAATTGTTGCTGGTTGTGGATGAGTTTGTATCTATCATTTAATCATGTCCAACATATGCTCTATTGGCAAAAGATCTCTTAATCTTGTCAGTCAGGATAACGCATTGACATCTTGTCAATGCGTTATCCTGACAGACAAGATTAAGAGATCTTTTGGCAAGGAAGGGCATGTTGGTTGCAACTGAAGAATGGGAATAAGTATTATCCTGTTCAAACAGGGCCTCCTCAATACTGTTTGGTGATTGAACTCATTGTTCTGCCATTCATAATCACAACAGCAAACATTCTGAGCAAATGTTTGCTGTCATGGTGTTCAGGATAACAAACAAGGGAGGGAGATCTGATTATCATAATACCTATGGTTGCTGCTTACCAACAGACATTCTTTAGGTCGTCCTTATGCAGATAAGTCCATCACTGGTACCACTGCATTGATACCAATGATGGACTTATGTTCTCCAGGCCTATCTCGATCCATATATATTGGTAAATGGCTCTTGTCTATGAATTATGCTGTAGAATAGACTCTTGCAAAACACCATTGATGATGCATCTGACAGTAAGCAGGAGTGAATGGCAAACATGCCACAAGATGCTTGGAGTAGATGTGACTCTCCAGTAGTTGGTTCAAACAGTTCTTGTGATCGCTCTGGGTATTACTGCTGCTATAATTTCCACCATAGATGCCCTCCAATCCATCAGGGACAACCTGTATATGTACTGATCATCTTTCTCTCCAGTGGCCCAAAAGGATTCAGACCCCAATCTTCTGGTGGTAGTGCATTCCCTAGGTATTGATACCAAAAGTTGTACAAGATGGACACATCTTGGTCCATTCTTTCTGCAATCTTACAAAATGGAAATCCATTGTCTCGTGGTCTACCATGTGGCCTCATTCAAACTGGTTTAATTGCTGATAAATAGTTTGTTGTTACCTTTGATGCATTCTGTACATTGTAGCTAATGTCATTATAGTAATTCACAGTGACACTAATATAAATACCTCTGCACATGTCTATCGGGAACTTATAATTTGTATTTGCTGTGACACTGTACATGCATTATGTGAATTGTGCTCTTGAAATTGGTATCAATTAAATAAAACACAAACAAAAATTACACACAATATTTATACATCTAGCATAACTCCTTAGTGTTGGAATTTCTATTTCTGGCAGTGTATGTTTAAACTTTATAATTTTATGTTTTATAGAAACTTTTTCTTTTTCAGAAAAGATACCAAATTGTTATTTTGTACATGTTGTTCATGTAACTCTCTACAGACTTTACTAAGAATACTTTTTATTCTTAGCATAGTATTTAGTATAGTATATAAAAAGATATTTGCTAATTGTAACAGAAATACAGGTTAATAAAAAAGAAAAAAGTAACATTTTTGATGAGATTAAAAGTTTTAATCTTACTTAATTATAATTCTACAAGGGCAGTTTTTTCAAGCTCCAATGGTCCATAAAACACAAATAAGTGTAAATAACAAAATGAATTTTGGTAATAAATTAATTTTGTTATTTACACTTATCTTTTTTTATGTACCATCGAAGCTTGCAAAAAAAGAGATAAAACTGAACTATGTAGGCTAACTAAATATATTGATTTTAAATTGAACAAATTAAAAACAAGCTTACCCTCTTTAGCAGTTTTGGCCATTGTACTCAACCTTTTTGTCGATGCTTTGCTTTCACGTAATGCCCTTGTACTTGATCGTGATTCGTCCAATTTTTCATTGCCCAGTATGTCTTTTCCAAGCTGTTAATATCAATTATGTATAGATTGATAAACATAGATTTCAAGTTATGTGAAACTTAGAAAAACACAGATTTCAATTCATTAGTTCTTTACCATATAAAGGATAATTTTAAATAAAATCAACTAACCTTAGCTGTTTCGAGCATTGTGTTATCTTTAGAAAGTCTTGCCTTTTTGACTGTAGGTTCGTCTAAACCTTTACCATCTGATTCTTTTATGTCTACTTCCTCTTTCATTTCTTGTTTATCATTATCCTAAAATGAGTTAAAAGCATTAATTATTTTTAATTAAAAAAATATGGTGTATTATTTAACCATAAAAAAATTATTATACCCAAATGGTTACAACAGATATATGTATCTGATTTTTACAGTTTCATTAAATAAATATCCAACTAGACACAATTATTATGGTAAAATAATTCCATTAGAATTCAAACTATAATCATCAAATTGTAAAAGGCACACTTAAATATAGAAGTTAATTAAAAGCCATTAAACAAAATACAGCAAATCTATATACAGTAATTGTTTTAAATTAATAGCTAAAATATATAAATCAGATATAGTAAATTTGATGCTCTTATCTTTTACTGACATCTCTAATACTATTGATGAATTCAAATGGCGTGCTCTAGAGTACTCTGCTGTCTCCTTCCTGTTAAATTGCTCAGAATAGAACAGTTGTTTAGATCACTTGCCTGGTGTGATTAGTTGATTTTTCTCTTTCAGATGATGATGTCATTAATCTACTCCTCATTCTTAGCACAGCAGCCAGCCGAATTAACCATATTATTAACATTTAAAATTTTTATAGCAAGTATGACCAATATTCCAAACTTTAGAAGATACTATACTAGTAGCTTGCTGGTAAAAAACGTATACAAATTTCCAATATATTTTTACTGTAAGATACATATGTGGTGAGTGTAATCCAACAACAGGGTAAGCATATAACACACACATGTTCTTCTTTCACCTGTGTTTATTTTCTTTACAGGATTCTTTTATAAATTCCAATGCGCCTCATTTTTGTTCTTTTACATACAATTTCTGCAGGTACTCGGACAGAATCGTTAAGTATNATTCTTAGTTACTTTAGACAAAGGAAAAGCTCTTTGATGACTTCATAATTTCAATTCAAAACCAGTATATAATCTGTCACATCAGATAAACCCTCACTTGCTGTCAAATTTTTTTTCAAATACAGATAACCTAAAGGATATTCAAATGAAATTATTGTAGTTTTTCCACAACTTATATAAGTTGTATTGGATACCTCAGTTTCCATTTAACTTCAGTGTTCTTATTGGGCTGCAATTTGAAAAAATTGTAAATTCTCAATATCATCCATCCATCTTGTCTTTTCTTAATCTTGAGGTGTCAGATAAATGAAATTGAAGAGCAGATATGGAAAGCTTAGGAGCAGGAGGCCCCAATTAACTGTATATGAACTTCCAATGTAAACTGGAAGTCACATTATTTTAATTTAAAAATTTTTCCTTGAAAGGAGTTAGTTAGATGACTGGCACAACTACATTGCTAACAGAAAGTATGATGTACAGTAAAGGGGCAAGACATTACAGTACTAATTTGAAGTGGAGGGCATATATTTTTAAATTAAATAAATTAAAAATATGATTAAAAATTGCAGCTTGGCATTGTGATGATGTCAGAATAAGTAATTGCTTATAATAAACAATTCTGTCAATGTTANGTATGTCTTTTCCAAGCTGTTAATATCAATTATGTATAGATTGATAAACATAGATTTCAAGTTATGTGAAACTTAGAAAAACACAGATTTCAATTCATTAGTTCTTTACCATATAAAGGATAATTTTAAATAAAATCAACTAACCTTAGCTGTTTCGAGCATTGTGTTATCTTTAGAAAGTCTTGCCTTTTTGACTGTAGGTTCGTCTAAACCTTTACCATCTGATTCTTTTATGTCTACTTCCTCTTTCATTTCTTGTTTATCATTATCCTAAAATGAGTTAAAAGCATTAATTATTTTTAATTAAAAAAATATGGTGTATTATTTAACCATAAAAAAATTATTATACCCAAATGGTTACAACAGATATATGTATCTGATTTTTACAGTTTCATTAAATAAATATCCAACTAGACACAATTATTATGGTAAAATAATTCCATTAGAATTCAAACTATAATCATCAAATTGTAAAAGGCACACTTAAATATAGAAGTTAATTAAAAGCCATTAAACAAAATACAGCAAATCTATATACAGTAATTGTTTTAAATTAATAGCTAAAATATATAAATCAGATATAGTAAATTTGATGCTCTTATCTTTTACTGACATCTCTAATACTATTGATGAATTCAAATGGCGTGCTCTAGAGTACTCTGCTGTCTCCTTCCTGTTAAATTGCTCAGAATAGAACAGTTGTTTAGATCACTTGCCTGGTGTGATTAGTTGATTTTTCTCTTTCAGATGATGATGTCATTAATCTACTCCTCATTCTTAGCACAGCAGCCAGCCGAATTAACCATATTATTAACATTTAAAATTTTTATAGCAAGTATGACCAATATTCCAAACTTTAGAAGATACTATACTAGTAGCTTGCTGGTAAAAAACGTATACAAATTTCCAATATATTTTTACTGTAAGATACATATGTGGTGAGTGTAATCCAACAACAGGGTAAGCATATAACACACACATGTTCTTCTTTCACCTGTGTTTATTTTCTTTACAGGATTCTTTTATAAATTCCAATGCGCCTCATTTTTGTTCTTTTACATACAATTTCTGCAGGTACTCGGACAGAATCGTTAAGTATAATCTCATGACCAAAAAAAAAAAAAAAACAACTGAAAATATTCGACGTGGTAAAAAAAAAACTATGATTAAATACTTAAAACTATTTATACTAAAAAAAAAAAGAGGAAGAAAAGATAGACAATAGGATAGATGGATATATGGTGATAGAAAAGAATGGGTACCCAAAATCTCAATGATTTTGGGATGATGGTGGTGATTGCTGAATTGTTGATTGTAGAACTCTAGCAGGTTCTATCAATAAGCTTTCAAAGGTCCTTATATTGAGATATATTTCGGGCTCCTCTCGAATGCCAGCTTAAGCTTATTGTCTCCTTTGTACTCCAGTCAATGCCAGAACGACCTGGAGGTCCTCACAACACGTACTATGGAAGAAACTTGCAGAAGGTGATAGACAAAACAACCAAGAACAAAGTGGAAGAAAACGAAATAAATACTAAGCAGAGTATGTACAACAATATACAAAATATGGCATACAACCACACCACTATAAATTCTACATTTTAGAATGCATATCCTAGTAGTTACATTACATAGTTAACCACTTTTTAATTTCTTCTAGTGTCATTCTTTAAGATGTTCTTGATATAAATACTAGTTGACATATATTACCAAAACTACATACACATTATAATAATAATATCAAGTACAATGAATTATAAAAAATTAAAAAGAAACTCATCTTAAATAAGTAATTTATTTTATTTTTATTAGTTATAAATACAAATGTGTAAGTAGGTTAATATGGCAAATGATAATTTTGTGTAATAAATATTCAATAAAGAAATATTTATCAATAGTAAATCAAATCATTTTAAAATTGATCCTTTAAAGTTTACTTTCAACTGTGAACCTACTAATTAAAGCCAGTTTGATATGTTTTTACTTATTTTTGTTAAACATATAGCATCAGAATTGATCATCTGAAAGATCTTAATACAACTTTATTAATATATAAAGAATTGTTGGTTCCCGAATAAGAAGTCATTTTGATATTTTATTTTAAAAAAATTCATTTAGATCTTTCTGAAAAACATTTTAAATTGGTGAATTTATTTAAAAACTATTGTCATCACCCATCTTAACATTCAAAATCAATAACTCAGTTTCAAATCCAAAGACGAGTAATTAAGACAGCTAAAAACACTAAGCTTTTTAAACCAACAGTTTTATTTAAAAGGTTAATAGACCAATGCAAATGAAAAAGTTAGAGTACGCCCATAAATATCATAAGTATGGTGCACCTATTGTTGCTTATGTCATAAGCTCACAGTCAAAAACAGAACTTATGATTTGATGAATTAAAATTGGTCATTAAATTGTTATACTGCAAGATAACTTAGTCAATTTAATATTAATAATGCTTTTTGTCAAATACTGGATGAGACAATTGTTAGCGAATAAGTATGTAGATAAGCATGCAACAATGATAGAAATGTGACATTTCATTCAGTGCTTAAAAGGCTGCAAAAGGAGAGCTAAGTAATACTATATTACTATATAACTGAATTGCTGTACATTAGATCTCTATGTAATACGTCTCTGTAATCCAACAAATGGTAGATGGACTCACAGCAAATTTTCAGTTAGTAACTACAATTTTATTCTCAAAAATGACAAATTCATTTCAGGTTGGCTCAATACATCCCAACCCCTCTTCAGTGCTAATTTTTAAAAAAAAATTTATATGTATTGATGTATAATATGTGTCGATGTTATAGTTGTGTTGATATCCCATGCACAATTTTTATATCCTTAAGAGTAAGTGTTTAAGAAAAAAATTTTTTCTGTTGGTATATTTGTTGTCGTGAACTGACTATTTTTGTTTTTATTATTTTTAAAAATTAGCACTGAAGAGGGGTTGGGTTGTATTGAGCCAACCTGAAATGCATTTGTCATTTTTGAGAATAAAATTGTAGTTCCTAACTGAAAATTTGCTGTGAGTCTGTCTACCATTTGTTGGATTACAGAGACGTATTACACAGAGAGCTAAGTAGTAGTTCCAGTTGACACGAATTGTGACAAATAGGTTGTTGGTTTAAGAAAAGTTTGCATTTATATATAGATTTAAGTTAGAAGTTAAGAAGTGTTTCTTATCAGGTAAAAGCTATTAGTCTTTTGCTTTTGTTGTTCGAAATACTACTGAACAAAATTAGTAATTAAGTAGTTTTTTCCCTACATTTATTGTTTATCACTAATGTATCAGGTGATACAACTTTAATAACAGAAACTTGTTAATTATAAACTGCCGTAATTTCTGTGAACATTAAATTTCATTTGTTCTTATGCCAAACGATTGTCAGATTAAATCAGGATACTTTAACACTATTTTTAATCAAATTCTAAATAATTTGTTACTAGAGATAGGCATTAGACACCATCTCTTATTAAATTTAATAATTATAATAGTGGTAAAGTAGCCCAATTTAATCTGGTAATCATTTGGCATATTACTAAAATACAGCAAGACCTCACTTAACGCTGATTCGATATAATGCGGTCTGCTCGAAGCCTAAAAACAGTTCAAAATTTATGCCGATTTAAATTATCGTGGCAATTTATTGATTCGTATATAATATGATTATTTACGAACACAAACCAATCAGCAAAAGATGTCAATTTGTCTGTTTGGTGAAATTTGGAAAAAATATATCATCATGGATGCCATAGGAAATATCGACTTCACTTGGCAAGAATTAACTGATAAATACAAGAATGAAGTGTGGAAGAAGTTATGGCCGACGGTATCCAAGAATTCTCAACGAGAAGAGCCTATTGCAGTATCGTTAGGTTGACCAAACTCAACCTAATCGATATAGCAGGACTAGGAGATATAGACAAGCAGGATATTGAGGAGTTACTGCAGGTTTCTTACCAATGATGACCTTCAAGAACTGGCAGAACAAGGAATTCATGTAGAACAGGAAAAGAGAGATTCCAAAAACGAAGAACCAAAAAAATTTCTCTACAGATTTCCTTAGTAAAAGTTTGGTAAAGATAACTGAAATCATTGATCAAATTGTAGTGAATGATCCAGATTTTGAAAGGAGTGCAAAAGCAAAACAAAGCATTTTGGATGCGAACTTCTGCTATTGTTTGTTAAGGAAAGAAAAAAGCGACAAATGAAACTTTCATGACTTTATTACAAAAGAATGAGAATTTCAGAAAAGTCAAGACCTTCATCACAAAAAATGAACTTTATATTTCTGTGTGCATATGTTTATGTGTTATTTAACATATTTTTATATTAATTTGCATAATAATATAACTTAAAATTAAAGTAAAATATGTTTATTTTTGGTCGCGTGTTTCCCTATCCCTATTTACTCTATGTTAAAATGACCTCGTTTAATGCTGTTTCGCTTCGCACTTTGTTGTCCAGGAATGCATCCCCCTGCGTTAAGCGGGGTCTTACTGTATTAGGCTTTGGAATGTTTATATAATGTTCATTTTGTTCATTTTTGAACTAACTGTAATAAATTAGATTATAAGGTCATCAATCTTGACCTTATAATGTGACAGAATTGTGCAGTTTACTATAACTAATTATGGAAGTATATTTTCTGTTCTTTTTTTCAATAAAGAATCTTTTTAAATCAGAATACTATATTTATAATGAAGAAACTATAAAATGTTTCATGATGATTCTAAAGTTTCTAAAATTTGCAACTCATATTCAAGACTACTATTAATAATTATAAATTAAGTAATTTCGGTATTAGAGGTAGATGGCACCTATGTCTAACTCTAATACCCAATTGCTTAATTTCTAATTATTAACAGTTGTAAAAAATAGCCTGATTAATAATGGTGATAATTAGTACCTAAAAATATTAATTAATAAAACATACTTTTTTTCATTGGTTGGTGCCATCTTGTCTTTCAAGAACTGAAATCAGCTATAAAAAATGGCACTTATTTTAATGTGTGCTTGACAATTATATTGCAGATGGTCTGATTAAAAACCGTTATGATGGCAAATATAGTTTAAACAAATAAATTTTATTAAGACGGTATTGAAAAAATAAAAATTGTGAGTAAAAGAAATATGAAGACAAATTTCTGATAATATTGTCCATCCCCGAAAATACAAAACAAGTGGACAAAATTTAACATGAAGTAGTCTCTGGATCTTCAATTTCAAGCAATCTGAAAGCTACTTCAACTTATAGAAACACAACTCCCAAACACTCATTGTGTTCTAAGTTGA